GCCATTACTCAAGACTTCACATCAATTATGATAAAACTTCACACAGATGGTTCATATCTAATATTTTCTATGACGGGATAAACAGGAAGTGACCGGGTCTGAGTGGAAGAGGAGGAGGCTCTCCTTCTTTTTCATTTTATTTCTTTATTTTAACTTTCGACTTTGTTTCTTTTCCTTCACATGCTCTTTAACTGTGTATCAGTAACATCAAGTGTGAGTCGTCCTCTCTGTGTCCAACCTCTGAGTTTTAATGATTGATTACCAGTTATTTCTTCTTCCTCTCCTGATGTTTCTGATGTTAAAGAGGAGCTGCTGTGGACTCAGCCTGTAACCCGGACTCTCCTGGTCATGCTCCTGGTCAGCGTTTTGTTTAGTTTGTATTGTTCTGATTATTTTAATGAGATGTAAATAATCTGCCTGAATAAATCTTGTTGCTGCAGCTCTCACTGACTCTCATGTTTACTGCAGGTTCAGCAACACTGCCCCGAGCCTCTGAGCAAGGCAGCAGCTCAGTGTCAGACTGAGGCTGAAGAGGCTTTGACTCGTCCTCCTGAAACCAGTTCTTTAAAATGTACTGAAGGTAAAGGTGGTGGTCTGACCTTTGACCTCGTCATGTTCATTCATAGTTAATGTAAAGCTCCTCCAGTGTAAATGTCTCTGTCCATGTGTAGTGTGATTATAGATCAGCTCTAGCTTCTATATTAATACTGTGAAAGTATCAAAGCCTCAGTCCACAGAGAAATGCACACAGCCTGTATTCAGAAACTGAGCCTTAAAACCAGCCGTCAGGACTTCTGGAACTTTGTGATGTCACAACAAAGCAGTCACCAAGCCCCGCCCACCTGGACCCACCATCCAAACCTTGCAGGATTTGGTTTCTCTGAGTGTTTTTACCTGAAATCTACTTGATTTTTATTGGATCACTCAGAAAACAGTCAGCCAATCAGAAGAGAGGCTCAGAGCCTCCTCTCTTCTGATTGGCTCACCGACCTGTTGTTACTAGAGCTGCAGAGAGAAGCCTAAGAGAGGAGATGTGAAACTACACTGGGCTGAACCACAAATATATCTTATAGATCAACACTTCAAAATAAAAGAAAATATAGCTTTAAAAAAAGTTTTCTGTGGATTGTTCTGATGTGTCCCTGAGCTGTTTGACAAAACAGGAAATTATAACGTCACAGTAAAACAACTTTTCAAATATGCAGGAACTACAAACTTAGGTCATTTATCAACTAGTCCTGAATATGAAGCTGCAACAAGCATCTCCCTCCAGTAACTGTCTTTCTCTCTAACTCCTTTCAGCACAAATATTAAAACATCTGATGTAACTGGTTTGTTTTTTAAATGGACAAGAATTCTGAAAGAACACATTTAGTTTAAAGATAAAATGTTTTCTGTGAAGACGATCCATAATAATAATGATAATAAGAATAATTAGAGCCCGACTGATACTGGATTTTTTGGTGGATACCGATATATTGGCCGACATATACATATATATATACTGTATATATAATTAGATATAAACACTTGTTAGAAACACTTGTTAGAAAAATATGTAATGAAACCAGGACATTTTACAGTTTAACTATAAACTTTATTTTCCAAAATAACATCAGCATACTGAAACTAACTTCACTGGGAATTGAATAAAATAACTATAAAAATAGATAACTATAAATAAAAAACGTAAGTATATATATATATTTAACTTGAATGAAAACAAAGGATCAAATATAATAAAATGCTGCCTATATAACTTGACTTGACCCGAGTATTTCCACTGCATTATTGCTTCTTGATAAGAGTTTTCATATCAGCACATATGGGAATATATGTACCGATACCGATATATCTGTGATAGACCGATATCGGTCGGGCTCTAATAATAATTATAATAGTACTTTTCAAAACAGTAGTTACAGCATGCTTCACACAGCAACGAACACCAAAGACTTAAAACAATAAAATGTTGTCGGCCTAAAAAGAAATGAAACTGAAGGAGGACTCCTTTTCTGTCTGACTCAGTTTCCCAGCATGCTTCACTGCCGCTCTCTGCCTTTAGAGGGCCGTGAAGAGGCAGGGGCTCAGTCACAGAGACAACACCATCATCCTGATGTTAGCTAATTAGCTGTGAGCACAAAGTCCAGAATGTCAGAACCAGGTTCATTTGGACTAGGATTTGGTTTTGGTGCAGGTCACAGCACTAACGTGAAATCAGACAGGAAGGATGATACAATAACACAACTACACACCAACAATATACTGCACATATATATACTGTACAACACAGACAGAGAGGGAGGATGTGTGTGATGGATCAGATGTTCAGAGTCTGATACTGACAGACCAGTCCAGTACTGATATCAACATCTACAGGGAGACGAGGATCATGTGACTGATGAAAGTGGTAGAGGTGATGGAGGTGATGGATGTGATGGAGGTGATGGAGGGGATGGAGGTGATGGAGGTGATAGAGGTGATGGAGGTGATGGACGTGATGGAGGTGATGGATGGGGTGGAGGCGATGGAGGTGATGGAGGTGATAGAGGTGATGGAGGTGATGGACGTGATGGAGGTGATGGATGGGGTGGAGGCGATGGAGGTGATGGAGGTGATAGAGGTGATGGAGGTGATGGACGTGATGGAGGTGATGGATGGGGTGGAGGCGATGGAGGTGATGGAGGTGATAGAGGTGATGGAGGTGATGGACGTGATGGAGGTGATGGATGGGGTGGAGGCGATGGAGGTGATGGAGGTGATAGAGGTGATGGAGGTGATGGACGTGATGGAGGTGATGGATGGGGTGGAGGCGATGGAGGTGATGGAGGTGATAGAGGTGATGGAGGTGATGGACGTGATGGAGGTGATGGATGGGGTGGAGGCGATGGAGGTGATGGAGGTGATAGAGGTGATGGAGGTGATGGACGTGATGGAGGTGATGGATGGGGTGGAGGCGATGGAGGTGATGGAGGTGATAGAGGTGATGGAGGTGATGGACGTGATGGAGGTGATGGATGGGGTGGAGGCGATGGAGGTGATGGAGGTGATAGAGGTGATGGAGGTGATGGACGTGATGGAGGTGATGGATGGGGTGGAGGCGATGGAGGTGATGGAGGTGATAGAGGTGATGGAGGTGATGGACGTGATGGAGGTGATGGATGGGGTGGAGGCGATGGAGGTGATGGAGGTGATAGAGGTGATGGAGGTGATGGACGTGATGGAGGTGATGGATGGGGTGGAGGCGATGGAGGTGATGGAGGTGATAGAGGTGATGGAGGTGATGGACGTGATGGAGGTGATGGATGGGGTGGAGGCGATGGAGGTGATGGAGGTGATAGAGGTGATGGAGGTGATGGACGTGATGGAGGTGATGGATGGGGTGGAGGCGATGGAGGTGATGGAGGTGATAGAGGTGATGGAGGTGATGGACGTGATGGAGGTGATGGATGGGGTGGAGGCGATGGAGGTGATGGAGGTGATAGAGGTGATGGAGGTGATGGACGTGATGGAGGTGATGGATGGGGTGGAGGCGATGGAGGTGATGGAGGTGATAGAGGTGATGGAGGTGATGGACGTGATGGAGGTGATGGATGGGGTGGAGGCGATGGAGGTGATGGAGGTGATAGAGGTGATGGAGGTGATGGACGTGATGGAGGTGATGGATGGGGTGGAGGCGATGGAGGTGATGGAGGTGATAGAGGTGATGGAGGTGATGGACGTGATGGAGGTGATGGATGGGGTGGAGGCGATGGAGGTGATGGAGGTGATAGAGGTGATGGAGGTGATGGACGTGATGGAGGTGATGGATGGGGTGGAGGCGATGGAGGTGATGGAGGTGATAGAGGTGATGGAGGTGATGGACGTGATGGAGGTGATGGATGGGGTGGAGGCGATGGAGGTGATGGAGGTGATAGAGGTGATGGAGGTGATGGACGTGATGGAGGTGATGGATGGGGTGGAGGCGATGGAGGTGATGGAGGTGATAGAGGTGATGGAGGTGATGGACGTGATGGAGGTGATGGATGGGGTGGAGGCGATGGAGGTGATGGAGGTGATAGAGGTGATGGAGGTGATGGACGTGATGGAGGTGATGGATGGGGTGGAGGCGATGGAGGTGATGGAGGTGATAGAGGTGATGGAGGTGATGGACGTGATGGAGGTGATGGATGGGGTGGAGGCGATGGAGGTGATGGAGGTGATAGAGGTGATGGAGGTGATGGACGTGATGGAGGTGATGGATGGGGTGGAGGCGATGGAGGTGATGGAGGTGATAGAGGTGATGGAGGTGATGGACGTGATGGAGGTGATGGATGGGGTGGAGGCGATGGAGGTGATGGAGGTGATAGAGGTGATGGAGGTGATGGACGTGATGGAGGTGATGGATGGGGTGGAGGCGATGGAGGTGATGGAGGTGATAGAGGTGATGGAGGTGATGGACGTGATGGAGGTGATGGATGGGGTGGAGGCGATGGAGGTGATGGAGGTGATAGAGGTGATGGAGGTGATGGACGTGATGGAGGTGATGGATGGGGTGGAGGCGATGGAGGTGATGGAGGTGATAGAGGTGATGGAGGTGATGGACGTGATGGAGGTGATGGATGGGGTGGAGGCGATGGAGGTGATGGAGGTGATAGAGGTGATGGAGGTGATGGACGTGATGGAGGTGATGGATGGGGTGGAGGCGATGGAGGTGATGGAGGTGATAGAGGTGATGGAGGTGATGGACGTGATGGAGGTGATGGATGGGGTGGAGGCGATGGAGGTGATGGAGGTGATAGAGGTGATGGAGGTGATGGACGTGATGGAGGTGATGGATGGGGTGGAGGCGATGGAGGTGATGGAGGTGATAGAGGTGATGGAGGTGATGGCGGTGATGGAGGTGATGGAGGTGATGGATGTGATGGAGGTAAATAATCAGAATCAGGATGTCCTGACCTCAAACACACACAATCGCACACAAACAGACACACACACACACACACACACACACACACACA